GAGGCAACAGAAGACTTTCACCGTCCACTGAGTATCCACAATACACTGCCACTGGTGACCAGTGCAAGAGTTTGTTTCTTTCACAGAATCCTAGTGTACACACACACACACACACACATACGTGACCACACACACACACACTCACTGAATCCCTTTGCTTCTCAGAAGCAATATCATTCTTTAGATAAAGTTTGAACCTCGCATCCTGTATCGGTGACATCATGTCCTTTGGCCCAGATACGTGTTTGTGTGGCGCGAGTCCTGCTGGCAGCAGACTCAGAGCTTCAGTAAAACACTTTTAGAAATCAGTCTGCTGTAATACGATCAGAGCGAAAAAACACAACAAAATAAACGTCCTTCAATCCAGGATTCAGGGTTTGTCCTTTAAATGTGTGTACACAGAGGTTTGGACTGAGTCGACTCTGCTAAAAAAGGGAGGAATGAGTCATTTGGTGTCCAAAGTCGGATCCAAATGATGGTACGACATGCCAAGGTTTAAGAAAATAGTCTTTGGAAACCAGGGCACCGCTTCCTCATTTGTCCAAGGGTGCAGAGAAGGACTCACGTATCCGCACCACTTCAGCAGCACACAAGTGTCCATACAGTTTGTTGTACCACTCTGGAAAACGACCCCTGAAAAATAAGGAAAGTTTCCGTTTGAGGTCATTGGTTTCCAAGCTGGAAATTTTTTACAAAAAATCAAAACCAAACATTTGTTTTCTTCCTGTACCTGCAGTCGATTCTAGAAATGTGCGTGAGTCTGGATTTGTTGCTTCCGCAGGGCTCTATGAAGTAGCGTGAGGTGAGGACGTTGGCCCGCACGCCGACAACAGGTGCTCCCTCGTGGTCCACAGATGTACACACCAGTGCACACGCTCCCTTCGGCAGGTCTGTGACCCATGACCTGGCAGAACGAAGTTACAGTAGAAGTTAGATAAAAAGAAAAATACAACGAAACAGTCCAACAACCTCTGTAGGACAGTAGAAGGTCTACCTGAGCACCACATGGTCTCTGGTGGGGTGGGGGGCCATTGTGTTTCTGACGTATTGGTAGACTTCCATCTTGTCGTCCAGGCTCTCCACCACTCGGCTCTCCAGCAGGTCCTCGTCCCAGTGGCCCTGCTCTCGTAGAACACGAGTCAGCACCTCCTCTGGACTTGCAGGCACCTCGATGGTCACCTTCCACTGTCGCAGTGGAAAACCATCATGGACCTGGAAGAATTGATGGTTCTTTGTTATTACAGGTCTGAAGAAGAAAATGGGTTTTTACCATGACTGTGAGTTTGTCTATGTAAAAGGATAAGTTAAAATGTTCTTAGACAGATATTTGGATTTCACATTATTGAAACGTTGCAAACTCCTACAGACGATATTCTCCACTGGACACCATGCCTACCTACATTAACACCTGAACAGAGTACAGAGAGGCGGCTCTGCTGTTTTCATCAGTCAAGATTATCCATTCATTTGTCCAACACACAGCTCTAACTCGTGTACACTCGTGTAATCGTGTACAAAATGTTCAGCAGCCTTTTTCATTTGTCCAACACACAGCTCTAACTATCGTGTACAAAATGTTCAGCAGCCTTCGGTACAAAATCTTATCTCGTCATCTGTGTTCTTGGAAACGAGCTGTTGCGATCCAGCCTGTTCGCTAATTGTACTACACAACACTTCAGCAATGTCTCAAAATTCCCTAATGCCCTGCAGCCGTGTCAGTTGCTTCATTCTTCTGTCAGATGATAAAGAGCGCTCATTCTCTCTGCCTTGTGACAAACTCGTGAAAAGATAAAAACCTCCAGAGGAGACACAGCCCTGGGATAATGGAGAGGCTGTATATGTTTATTCCTGAGTGTCTATGTCGAGCTGATGTCATTCTGGGATGGAGTCCAGTACTGGGAAGGGAATGAGAGGCCAATGGCCCGGCCAGTTTCACACGGATGTGTTTCTGCCGTTGAAAAAAACAAAACAAAACCTAACTGCTGGTTTTCACTAGATATTTAAGGAAGCAGTTGAGAGGGAGACTGGAAAAAAGAAGAGTGAAGAAGGGGCCGGAAAGAGACATTTGAAAGGAGTGTGTGATTCACAGTGCTGTGTATATACGCTGCTCGGTTGAAGGATGATCTGTTTGGCTCTTGTAACTTATGTAACAGTGTGTACATGGAAATGGACTGTATATGGTGAGGAGAGCCAGGAAACACATCTGCGTCGTACCTTTCTGCAGGCCAGCTCTGCCTGCTCAGGCGTGGAGCAGCTGTCATAGCCTCTGAACTTGTCTTTGGCTTCCTTGAGGAGAGCGTCTAGGTGGTTGCGGAGGTACGTGCGGTAACCTCCGTTTCCGGCTTGTTCGTCGCAGAGATCCTTAATGCATCGAGGCAGAAGAGCCTGCTCCATGTAAGAGTTCCTGCAGCGATTCATCTCCTCTGGTATCTATGAGGAGGAGAAGTTATTAGTCGTTATTGATTTCATCTTTCATGATTTCATAGCACTCAATGACTTGATGACAATCAATGATTATTAAAAGTGTGAATTTTCAGGCGTTGGTGTTGGGCATCAATTTCTGTCAATGTTTTAACAGAAGACAGAAACTGAATTTTTGTTCATTTTTGCAACTTTACTATTTCAAAAAAGAAAAAATTGAATTCCATTTACGTCTGTATGTACGTGGTTGTGCTTGTGGGTAAATGTATGTGTGTACGTGCTGTGTTTGAGTCTGGAGAGCACTTGTTGTTGAGCTTCTTAGAGTTAGACCCACAATGTTAGATGTTGGATCCCACGGTCTAATGTGATATTGATTACAGAGGGCTAATTTAAGAGGTCACCTTATGACAAAATCTAATTGGAGAAAATTATTCAGGAAGCAAACGGCCGGTGCGATACGACTTCCCCACAATCTAATAAAATCATGATCAGTAATCAGACAGTACACAGAATGTTACTAATTACTACTGCAGTTCAGAGAAAATGGTACCGAGCACAGAAGCCTTTTAGAACGAATGTCACTGATATTGGATTAGCGCTGGATTGTTTTGCTGATTAGTTCCTGTTTATCCCATGGAGTGCTCTGCTCGGGGAAACACCGGAACAACTCATGGGTTTAAGATTTTTTTGCCACTGACGTCGATTTGTAACTTGGTTACGTTGGCTCTAAATGGACGGTTTGATAAAGTAACATTCTGTTCTATATATTCTGGGCAGTTAAACATTGTCAATACAGGGGGTCCTCGATGAGTCAGAGTTCAGTTCCTATGGTGTGACGTAAGTTGATTTTTGCAAGTCAGAACTCACATACCTTATATCATTACCTAAGTCACTCATCTATGCTAACACAGTGGTAACATCATAATGTAGGACAATAAAACGTCAGAAGAATCTGACTTACACTTGGGAGCCATAATGAAGGGCCAAAAAAAAAAAAAAAAAAACTTCATACAAAATACTAACCCGAAAGAGTTTCCTGCACTCCTGGATCATGTGTGCCACACCGTGAGTGGCAGCCAGGTTCTCATTTAAATCCTTCTGGTCCGGCTTTCCCAAAATCTGCTTCCTGTTCATCACCCTAGGCCCAGAAAGGATGGAGAAAGTACTGTTCAGTTTCCATTAAAAAAAAAACACTATAGAAATTATAGAACACTAGCCTCAGGGTAAAATGCTATCATGTAGTAATATATGGACTAAAAAACGCCTCAGGGTAAAATGCTATCATGTAGTGATATATGGACTAAAAAAAGTGGAAAATATCAGCTGCTTATATAACCCTTCTATTTCCTCTGTCTCTCCCTCTTCCTTTCCTGCCCTGTGCTTTATTTACTGTATCCTGCTCCTTTGTTATTTTAAAGTGTCTCTTTCCTGTTTTTAAAGAGTACCACATATCACACGTTACATAAGAAGCTAGGACTTTGTCAGTGGAATTATCAAGTGCATCGATTCCCGGCAATAAGGTCAACAAACGGACACGCACCTGGGTGAGGAGCTCTCCTTGCGGCGCAGGGTGTTGAGGTGGAAGAGCGACGGTGCCAGACAAACGGCCAGGTTGGTGGGAGTCATCTGGTTCTCGGCTACGCTGGCCGTCACATCGCTCAGAAAACACAAGAGTGTCCTCAGTGCCTCACGGTTCTCATCAGGCAGCAGCAGCACGGCGGCACGGGCTGCCTGTAGACGGAGCTCTTTTGGCATGTCTGGAGAGAAAAGGCAAAACGCCATGCCGTATTATGTCATCTTTTAGTGGTCTTTTCCTGCTAACTTTAGCCTCACTGGCCTGGCAGTGATAACATCCACTGGCCTGTTTGAACTTTTATAAACATGAGCTGGAGTGACTACTTCAGTCATGTACAGTTATATAATAAACCAAAACCTTGAGAGGACGTCAGCGGTGAGTCGCAGATAAATGAGCCAATATATGTTTGCGGAGGCAGAACATCCCCTCAATCCACAGGTATTTCCTGCACTTATTCTGTTTGTTTTCATTTCGCTATTTCACAACGCCTTGCTCCACGACTGTCAAGCGGCTGCAGCCCCACAACAACACACACACACACACACACATATGTACGTCTTTACATAGACTGTTTTGCTCACGCTCTGACTCTGTGTTTGTGCAAATACTTACACTGATAAATCTGCAGGAAGGTCTCTGACAGTTTGCTTGTGAGCAGAGGCTCTGGCAGATCTCTGAAGTACTGTTTCAGCATGTCCGCGACGTCGTACGCCGACTGGCCCTCGTAGCTCACTCCGCCCCCGTCCGCACCGCTGGCTTCATTCATTTGACGCAGGGCTTGGATTCGAGACTTAACTCCTGACTTCCTGAAAAGACCCACCTGAAGAAGAAGACCAAAATGTTCTAGTCAGTTACCTCAAAACAATGTTTGATTATTACAGCGTCCAAGGACCTTACAGACACAGGGGAAATCACAATGACTGTGTTTCCAGTAAGTTCCCAAATTACCTCACAATTATGATAAATGTGACAGTGAATCATTGTCTGCTGAAGGATGAATGAAATGGCAAGTTAGGGAGGACATAGGAAAAAGTCTTGGGCTCGTTGAGTCTGAATATTTTCCAGCTTTTTCATACAAAGCTGCCTTGTACTACTGAAAAATAACCACTGTCACTCTTCTATTTCTGATTTGGCTTTCTATTTTAGTTTCTTTTTTCCCATCAATACTGTACATGCAGTCACACAAAGTTAGACTTTTTTTTCACATTATAGAAACTGAAAAGCTCTGTCTTCCAACCCTGACATTAGCGAACATTAAAGGACTCTCATAAGGACTCTTCTTCCACTGTGGAAACTGAAAATGGTGCTTTAAGCTTAATGACAGGCCCGCGGGAATTTCCGATATAATGTACACGCTGAGGTGTAATCAAGGGCTTATGTGTACATATGTCAAACATTCATGAGTAACTCAAACAGCCTGTTACCTGGTCAAGGCACTGATTACGCAAGAAGCGCATGGCCTGTTGGATTCCCTGAGGGAGGGGCTGACCAGTTCTCTGGACGATGACTTGCAGTGGCACACCAAACACATTCCTGTCTTTGTAGTCGCGCACCTTAATTCGCTTCATAAACTTTGGCACGGCCCTTCAACAAACAAACACACACACAGACACACACATTTACATCAGAAAGACATCCCACACAGAATATTAACATGCATTGTTGAAGTGTAAATGCATTTTAAACCAATACTATTGTAAAAAAAAAAAAATCATTGGAATCAATGGACAATAAACCAATACTATTGTAAAAAAAAAAATCATTGGACAATACTATTAGTTCATTGGCTACATTTGTGCAGATGTGTCTTAAAGATGACAAACCTAAGACACTAGCAAGAGCCGCTAATTACTAGTGGCCACCCTGTGCTACTACATCAACCAGTATTGGTCCTTTATCTACTCCTGTGTCCCCAAGTGAACCTTTTAAATCAGGTGAAGGGTTTTCCAGTTTTCCAAGATAAATGTTAAATTCATTTTCTGGTAGAAAAGCTTTCGTCCAAAGCGAGAATTTTTTTGTTTTTACATTTTTCAATTCAATTCAGAAAATGTATGCAGGCTTTAAATGAGAAATACTCTGAATAAATTAAGTCGAGATACAAACTGATTAATCATTATAACAAAACAAATCAATCTGTCTTTGATTTGTTAGTTTTCAAATATGTGAGTCAGCCCAGTGAGGCTAATGAAGCAGCTGTACAGTGGACAGACTGTTTGTGTGTTTAATGAAACCAGGCCTGTGCAGAAGCCTGTCTCCAGGTTTATGGGAGAGGGTGGATAAATAGGGTGAGGAGAGAATGGAGGAGGGCTGGGGTGTGTGTTTTGCCGTCACAGAGGGAGGATCCAACTGCTTTATACATCCGCACAAAGTGCCTGCAATCCTGTTTCCTCTAGTGTGTGTGTCCGTGCACGTGGGAATGTACGCGTTCTTGGGTGCGATCCCCCATCAAGTCTTTGACCACAAACCAAGAGTTGAAACGTGCGACTCCAACTGTTTCACAAGAATGCATCTACAGATTTATGGCTGTGGTTCTGCGTGCATGGGTGCGAGTGTGTTTAGCAGATAGACTCTATGTGCAACGCAGGACAGGCTTGTCTTTGTTAGAACCGTTCACAAGACCCTCAGAACCACAGTTTAGGAAAAGTGGAAAAAGAGCATATTATGATCCCCAGCCCGGAATTCTGATTATGTGTGGGCCTCCAGTGGCCAACAAGTGGCCTCTGTCTTCCAGCGGGTTCTGGACTTTTAAAAGTCATAATTTATGTGATTTCTACTCAAAGACAGCCTTGAGTAGAAATTACTTCACTTATAAATATTTTTTTCATGTGACACATGTGAAAATATCCAGATCACTTTAGAGATTATATCCGGCTTCTTCAGGTCAATGTTCTGCAGTTATATGTTGATGGAAAGAATCCCTGGTGTCCCATTGACATTTAATTTTGTTATCTGTGATATTTTAATACATTACCTCCTCAAAGATCTTTAGCCTCGGGTGAACATTTAAATTATAAGAATACAGTAAGATAGAGATAAATAAGGGATGTCCAGCTGTTCTTGACCAAAGATTTACCAAAGTATTATTGTCTGGAGTGTTAAAAAAAGTAAGATTCAAACTTATTGAAGGCCAGAAGGTAGTGGTAGAGTGATAATTGCCAAAAGCCACCAGCTCTTGTAACGCAATGCGTGTGAACTGCCATTATTGCCCCATGGAGAAAAAGACAATGTACGCCCCTTCCCAGCAATTACAGGGCTGGGAAAAGAATGTGAAACCCAACCTCTGTGGACAGCTATCACCACACTATACAACAACCTGCAGATGGAAGGGATTGCGAGACTGTTGGGACTGAGGAGTATCAGTTGGCCGGCTGAGTGGATAAATTCAAGGCCATCGCTGATGAGGGACAATTAGCTAAGTGTGAAATGCACTTCACAAATAACTCTGGGTGTTGAAATACAAGGAGCACGTGAATTAACCTCCACAGCCCGCCTGGTGCCTGTTCCCTTTATTCAACTGTCTGTTTTCCTTACCAGCTGAAGCCGTGTTTGTTTGCAGGAGTATGTTTCTCCAGCAGGGCGGTGAGCTGCAGCAGGGAGAGCTTCTGGAGCAGATTCATCTGTAACACTGACTGGCAACTAATCTGGAGCTGTGCCGAGGCCAAGCTGGGCCTGTGAGAGTTCTGGAAACTTGGCCAGCGAAGCTTCTGTGGCCTGTATAAAGAAGAGGGCCAGCGAAGCTTCTGTGGCCTGTATAGAAAAAGAGAAAGAAATCGCACCAATTAAGATATTAGTGGAATAAGGGTAATTGACAAAATGAGCTGTTTGCCTTCTCAGATCTGCGTCATGTTTTTGTTATCAAATAAACTCAGGAAGTTGCACATGGTTGTTGGTGCCAAGTGATCAGTTAAGGGATTACAGAGATTTATGAAGACATCAATCAAGAGATAATCAAAAGGCCTGAACACCCACACCCCTTCATGTAATTTGTCTGTGAATTCCTAGAGAAACAGAAACAGTTCCTATGGCGACCAGGCAGACATTCCACAGTCACCAGAGCCATTACATAAGGAAAGACGCCTCAGCGTGTTTACCCTTTGCTGTCAATTACTACAGAAAACACTTTTTGTCTTTTGGTTTTTCTTTATTTTCCTCCAGCTTTTCGGCTATTATTCCAGTGTTTTACAGAGAAAGAAAGACCAGGAGGCTGCCAGATCTGGCTCTGAAAATAAGGCATAAGGCTTAAAGGTTTCCTTTTGACATCAGGATAACAAAATATCTTTAAATTACTTCAACTGCTAAACAGTGGAAATCTGGGGTAAGAAACCAGCCAGCAACTCTACTTAGGTACAAGATGAACATGCATGTTCACAAGTAGCTGTGAACATGCATGTACATCAAGGATATGTAAAATGCTATTAAAAATTAAATATATTAAGTTGAAATAACTATTAAGTTAAATATGTAGAAGATTAAGCAATTTTAATGAAGATGGTCCTGGGTTCAATCCCCATAGAAACCTTATATACCTAATGGCACCTCCATGGCAGCATGTGCAAAGACTCACACTGTAAATGTCCCCATTATGGGACAAATAAGGGACACAACTGTTATTATTATTAATATTGTTATTATTCATTTGTCAATTTAATCAACTGACCCTTTAAACAAAAAAAAGATTTTTGCACAAAGTACAAAATGCTTGGTGTAGTCTGACTGACCTGCTGGTCCGGGTTAATGACGCTCCAACACCAGAGTCCCTTCTCTCTCTCATCCCTTCTTCTCCTTCTCCCAGTGGGTTTCCTGTGCTGTCTTGGTCACTTCCATTTTCAGTCTCTTCTAGTCGGTTCTGCAGAGGAGAAGACGGGCAAGGAGATGCCGAGTCCAAGGCAGAGTCTGAGTCTCCTTCTTCCTCTTCATCTTCCTCCTCTTCCTCTTCTTCTTCACCCACTACAGCCTCTGACCAGGCATTAAAACGCTTCAGGCCACTGACATGTTTTAGCACTTCCTCCAGTTTCCCTTCATCTCCCTCCTCCTCTACCTCCTCCTCTCTCTCAGTGTAGGGGACGTTGTCGTAAAAACTGAGCCGACTGTCGACAGAGCCTGAAGACCCGCGGCGCTGACGTCTACTTTGTCTTCCCCTAAGCACCACCAAGTTTCCATTATCAATCCCATTGTTGTTCCGTGAACTACCGTCTTCCAGGGCTTTGGGAAACGTTCCAGGCTTATGCCCTTCTGGTAAGTAGAAGTAGAGCATTCCCTCGTCTTCCTCTTCCTCTTCTTCACCCAGTTCTCCACCGTTGCTTTGGTAACTGTAGTTGTTTTTGTGGTTCTGCTCGTGTACTGTCATCCCATTAGTAGCTGGGCAGTTGAAGGCGTTGGATGAATTGGGTGGAGGTTTTGGCTGACGATCAGAAGTTTGTTGAAGAATGCTTAAAGGATCAAAACCCTCCAAATACATCCCCCCTCTCTTACTCGACCCTGCTGCTGTACTGTGACTTCGAGCCCGGGTCACTGGGCTTGGTGTGCTCACTGCACTGCCACTGCTGGCTTCTGACTGGCTACTTCCTGTACTTCCAGTGCTGCCATTGCTGGTCTGGGTGGAGTAGGAGACAGAGCGATTTCTGTTAAGTGTCATAGTCTGAGTGGGATTGCGATGGTGATTGAGGTTCTGGTGGAAACTGATACTGGGGATGTCCACACAGTTCAGCCTCCTCAGTTTGTCATCATCCAGACCCTCTTTGATGACAGGGCCACTGATTTCGATCTTCCCTCCAGTGATGCTGCCCTTCTTCTTTCGCTTGGAGGTGGAGCTGCTGCGGAGCCGCAGGCTTTCCATCCTCTTCAGAAAACTCTTGGCTCGTGATCGTGTGCTTTTGCTGCTTTCACTTCCTCTCTCCATATTTCCCCCAAGTCCAACTATCCCAGTTTTCATGTCAAAAGTGAACTGTCCAAGTGACTCTAAAGGTGATGGGGGCAACCCGTCAGACAAAGAGTCTTCATTGGCACATCCTGAGCCTCCCGTACCCGAGGATGAGCACATGCTAGTAACAGAGCTAGCACGAGTGGCACCAGCGGGCGCAGATTCATTTACCAAAGTGGCACCATGTCCTTTCTCCTCTCCTCTTCCTCCACTCCCACTGCTGTGGATAGACACCACCTCAGGCTGCTCACTGAGGTCGGTCAACACACTCTCTGAACTGTTGCCTTCATGTAGGACGTGCTTGCCTTTTTGGGGTACATGGTCCTTGGGGAATGAGGAGGCCTCTTTGTCATCCATGGACAGTGTGGAGAAAACATCCAGCTCCTCCATACGTGACCAGCGTTTGCTGTCCCGTTGGAAGGTCCAGCGACCACTAATGGCACAGAGCTCATCTTCATCAGAGTCCTCACTCTAGAAAGGGAAAAGAAAATCATAGGAAAACATGGTAAAAATAGAAGGAAAGGACGGAGGACAGTATTTGTCACAGCTACCATTTCTTTTCCAATGTTCCTCAAAAAAGACTGAATAAAAAAACACGTCATAATTGTTTTAACTGTAAAATATGTATATGTATAAAGCAGCAGCTTCAATATATTACTACTTATACCAAAAATGCCAATGATTGTAAACAGCCCTGGTCTCTGCTGACCACACAACCTCCAAAAGAAACCAGTAGGCCTTTCTGCGTCACATATAGAACACATGCATCTTCTCAAAATCTACACACCTCCCCCAGTTTGGTTAATCTATCTCAAGCCCTGGAGGGAGCTCAGGAAATTCCATTATGACCCCCATCGCTCTAAGTGCAGCCGGCCAGACTGGGGTCACCCTCACAGTTATAACCCCTCCGTCTGTATGCACAAATGCACTGAATGTGAGACGCTTTATCGATAAAGTCATGCTCTATGACAAAAGATAAGTCCAACATGTGTCTCTTTGTTTAACACACACACACACACACAGACCAACGTGGCTTCAGAAGATACTTCCTCGCAGTCACCAATCATCCAAGATGACTGCAGCCTATAAAACCTAACCACAGGCCGTGGTTTAAAAACCCTCTTCTCTACATCTTTTCTTACTGCATGGAAATTTACACAATTCACTTTTATCCTTTGCAAACAAACACTCTTTGAATTAAAACAAAAATAAAATCCAGTCATGAATTTTACTTTTTGCATGTTAGATTTCCTTTGAGCTTTACATACACAAAACGATTTAATGTATACACGACGAAGCACCAGTGAAGGAGGGGTCTCTGTGCTCTTCATTAAAAAGAGAATCTAATTTCTGTGGCTTGTTCTGTTCTGATGCTGGTTTGATTTTGATTAAACGATACCGTGCTATTTGGGGTTCAGACATTTAAACGATACCGTGCTATTTGGGGTTCTACGGATGATCAGACATATATCAAGATTTTGGCGACAACTCATCCCCAAACCACTAAACCGTCACAGCATTCACGGCAGTGGTTTGAGCATTAGGAGGAGTCGCCAGAAAGAAAATGGGAATGTTAAGACGTATGGAGATCAATGCATTCCTAAGCTGTCTGAGGATGGGGGGGTGAGCGGAGGCAAATAACCTCTTTGACTCTCCTACTTCTTTCTGTTGACTTCTGAAATGAAAGGTGACACAGAGAGGGTCATCCTAATGACCGCCACCACACACAGAACAAGGATAGTACTATGTACTGCTTAAGGCTAATAGGGAGTTAAGGTAATTTGTATTAAAGGAGAAACTCTGATCACAAAGTGACACTGTTTCAAAGAGAGACAGACAGAAAACTGATATCTAAGCACAGGTATGAGTTCTTTATAAAACTTTTATAAAAAAAAATGAAAACCACAAAAAATGTAAGTGGGTAATTCGGCACATGGTTAAAAAGAAGAAGAAGTGTGATTTAATAAAACATTGGACACAGTGTGTGGTTTCATTATTTTACTCTAAATTTTGCCACAAAAGCATTTAACTGATTAAAATCTACAGTAGGCCTGGGCTGTGGGGAAGTATTTGACAAAGAAGGTGAGCAGGGGGAGAAAATGCAACCCCTTCATTTAGACATAAAAAGCTGCCCTCCTTTCCCCTAGGGTCTGCACAACCCACTTGATATAGAAATAAAACCCAACAGGTGGCTTCTAATTAAACAAGATGTGAGAAAACACAACTTCTGCCCTATGGCCAAGAGTGAACTGAGGGCTGAGGTGAGGAAGTGCAGTTGTGGTTGTGAAGATGTGCTATGGGGCTTTTGAAGGAGGAGTGGAGTTCATGTGTATGCATGTGCACTTACTCGCTTTCTTTGCGGTGATATCTCCAGTCTCATCAAAGCACACTTGTTAAGGGTGTTCAGCCTCCTGTGCAAACACATCCAAAAGTGGTTACATTTAAAATGGGTTTGAAAAATATTCAAGCTCCCTGGTTTTCCCAGAAACCCAAACCTCTCATCACCAAGAGTGCGTAAAA